TTATCTATTAAGATTCATTGTTTCAGTGTAACTAAAATGTACAATACGGACATTTGAATAAATGTATGAAATACCATATACACAGACCTTAATAAATATTGAGATATTCTATTCTCATTTAGCGAAATGTGATGCATCAGCAAGAATTAATCTTTTGGAAAACTAAGTCACATTTAGGAAATTGAAACTACAAATACAGCGTAAGGTCAAGATCCATTTTTTTATTTTTAAGTCAGTGTTTCTTGTTTCATGATTTAAATTATGATAAAAATTGGTAATTTTTAGATTAAAGCAATCAAATCTGAAGTATCTTTTAGCAAATAATAGACTTTCTATTTCTGGATTTTAATTTTTAATGGGAAGTCTCTATAGCAACACTTGACCAGCCAATTTGCCTTTGTTCTTTAAAAGTAAAAAAAAAAAAAAAAAAAATCTGTGGAATTTATCTATTTCCACGTTCCTGCTTTCTTGTTAGGGTTTTGTTTGCTGAACTGAAGAATTCTGCAGTATCAAATTTCAGGTTATTCTGTTGCTCTGTAAACAAACTTCCCTCATAACGTTTTCTCTAGGAAATTATTAACTTCCTTGAGTTGGGTGGACTGGACTGTCTTCCACTCCTGGTGCCATATCTGGAATCTCTGCGGTGATCTGAAACTTTTTTCATAATACAGTGGTGACCCACTGCTAAATGGGAAGGTGCTAAACTTACTTTTAGTCCATGATTCTTTGTTTATAAACAGAAAGATTACAATTTCCCTTTAAGCTGTATTAACTAGCTTTGGAGAATAACGAGTAAAACGTGAGCTTCCAAATGAAAAATCTGTCATAGAAATGCCAGCGCTTATAATAGTTTCCCATCCTGTTGCCTGTTTGTTTTGGTTTTTTTTTTATTGCTACATAAGTGTTCACAGTCACCTATATAGAATTACATCAAATATAGAAAAAAAAATAGGTGTTGGCCAAGCAACTCACTCATGAAGTCCTTTTGTACTGAAGAAAAACTGAAACATTTAAGCTTTACTTCATAAGTGAGACCTCTGAATATAGGAAACCTAATTGATTGGTATCTGAAGTTACGGTGTTTGGGGTAAAGAGGAGGAGGTGTCTTAAAACCTGTTTAGTTTTTGAGAGAAGTCTTAAAATACACAATTTACCCTTCATTCTAGTAACTTTTTCCTGTCACTTTCTCTGCTTTCTCAAGGTATTAAATTTTATTCTCAGAATTGTCTGAGCAAAATGGATTGTTCAAGCTGGCAGTTTTTGTGTTTCTTTGCATCAACATCTGAGGGAACTGAAGAAGATTTGGTTCTCACAGAATTATTTATAAGCTGAATTTTATGGAGGAAATTGTGGTATTTAAAAATGATTTCTGAAATAATTGATTGTCTTTCACATTTATTATGAAAAGTGTACTGCAGTGTTAGAAATGGCTAAGAATTCTTGACACTCGGTGGAGCTGAAGGGAGATAAACACTTATGTAAGTATAAAAACCGTAAATGCTATAAAAAAAAGAAAACAAACCAAAACCAAACAACAACACACCACCACCAAAAAAAAAAAACCCAAACAAAAACCAAAACCAAATAAAACCGGCACAGGGCACTTTTAGATATCAGATAAGAGAAGTCTGAATGGGGGAAGCTTTATATATCCTGCAGGTTTGAGGTGTGCATATGCCTGATATTGAAAAAATGCGTATGTTTCCTGGGAAAAAAATTGCATTTCTTTCACTTTCTTTTCTTTTTTTTTTTTTTTTAACTTGCATCATTTTTCATGATTCAGGGTGCAGCTGGGGCCGGTGGCTCTCAGGGACTGGGACGTGGGGAGCGGCAGAGGCAACCCGAGGGAAGGGCTGGGCTGGGCCTTGCAGCTGGGGCCTCTCCTACTGTCTGAGCCGGGGAGTCAGGTGGGCCTGGGGGCATGGGGGCAACCCCAGCCCCGGGCATCAGGCAGCTTCAGGGTGGGGCCAGGCCGAGGCTGGGCCAGGCTGAGGCTGGGCTGGGCTGTCAGCCTGCAGGTAGGCCTAGGTCAGCGGGGCCCATGGCTGGGCTGGGCAGGGCTGTGGGGAGCTGGGGCAGGGCCTGATGTCCCCAGGGGGCTGACAGGGGGTGCTGGGCAGGGTGTGTTAGCCCTGGGCAGGGGCAGTCAGGCCTGGTGATGCCCTCAGGGCCCTCACAATATGAAAGCAGATGTATGCTACCAGTACTGTTCAGTATCTTCATTAATGACATGGACAGGGGGATTGAGTGCACCCGCAGCAATTTTGCGGACACCAAGCTGAGTGGAGCAGTTGACATGCCTGAGGGACTGGATGGCATCCAGAGGGACCTGGACAAGCTCAAACAGTGGGCCCATGTGAACCTCATGAGGTTCAACAAGGCCAAGTGCAGGGTCCTGTACCTGGGTCGGGGCAGCCCCTGGTATCAATACAGGCTGGGGGATGAAGGGATTGAGAGCAGCCCTGACAAGAAGGACTCAGGGATACTGGTGGATGAAGAGCTGGACATGAGCTGACAGTGTGCACTCAGAAAGCCAGCCACATCCTAGGCTGCATCAAAATGAGTGTGGCCAGCAGGTTGAGGAAAGTGATTCTGCCAGTCTACTCCACTCTCGTGAGGCCCCACCTGGAGTATTGTGTCCAGCTCTGGAGTCCTCAGCACAGGAAAGACACGGACCTGTTGGAATGCATCCAGAGGAGGGCCACGAAGATGATCAGAGGAATGGAACACCTCTCCTGTGAAGTAAGGCTGAGAGAGGGAGTAAGGCTGGGTTGTTCAGCCTGGAGAAGAGAAGGCTCCAGGGAGACTTTACTGGGGCCTTTCAGTACATAAAGGGCACCTACAAGAAAGATGGGGACTAGTTTTCAGCAGGGCCTGCTGTGACAGGACAAGGGCTAATGGCTTTAAACTAAAAAAAGGCAGATTCAGGCTAGATAGAAGAAAGAAATTTTTTATGATGAGGGCCGTGAAACACTGGCCCAGGTTGCCCAGAGAAGTGGTAGATGCCCCATCCCTGGAAACATTCGAGGTCAGGTTGGACGGGGCTCTGAGCAACCTGATCTAGTTGAAGATGTCCCTGCTCATTGCAGGGCTTTGAACTAGATTACCTTTAAAGGTCCCTTCCAACCCAAACTATTCTATGTCCTGCCATAACCATAACTAGTAATATGCAACATGCAAGTAGTCTTCCACTGTCACTCAGTATTATAGCAATCTTTGATACAAAAACGTGCATGTAAAACTTGTATGCACTTATGAAAATGCTTAGAAAGGCCTACTAAAGTAGGAAAGTAGGAGAGAAATCAAATGATAAACAGTACTGTGATACTTTAAAAACATCTAAAGCTTTTTTATTTTACAGATACAATGTGGTGACTCGTATAGCTGAATTTAGTTCTTTTGAAGCTGACTAGGTTTTTTTAATTGCTTTTTTGGATATCATTAATATTTTGAGAAAATGAAATCTTGATTTGGTCTTCCAGTGTTTGGGGGAAAAGAAGGAATCTGCATTTAAACAGAAATAATTTGAATATCTACACGTAACTTAAAACTCACCTCCTAATATTCTGATCCTTATGTGTGTTAATGGTTAGACTAGGATTCAGCATATACTGTTGGCAAATACATAGTTGGTGCTTTACATATATGTAATGAAGGATATATCTTAGTACTTATTTTTATGCAACTGTTATATAATCAGAAAATGCATAAAACATGAAAGCCACAAGTTGATTTTTCATAAGATTAAAAAAATTTATTAAGAGTTTATAACAGACTCAGAAACCACAAAATTTCAGTATAAAATGTCAAGCACTCTCTATTTCAACCATTAAGATCCCACTTCTGATGAAATGGCAGCACCAAGTTGAGCTCTCCTTTGCTTCCCAAAAGAAAGGTTAACATACTGGTCTGAAGATGAAAGGAAGGGTAAACACTCTGGGAAGGCAGCTCTGATATTTTCAGATCTTACATTTAATTCAACTTGGAAGCTCGATCCCTTTCCTGCTCTAAGTTGAAGGACTGCAGCAGAGCCAGGGGTGGGTCCATGCTGGCTCTTGCTGTTTGTAGATAAACAAAGCGTGCCTTGCTGGGGAAGTCTGAGATGCAATCTGTTTGCAAACTGAATTGTTAAGACAAATGACGTGTGCCTGGAGAACTTAGCAGAGTTGAGAAGTCTCAGGCTGTAGATTCACAACAGTTTTAGCCTATCCAAACTGGTAGGACTGAGTTTTGATCCCTCTCCAACACTTCTAATAGTGTGCGTGCAATTCTTACGTGAGCTACTTCAGCTCATTAGACCAACAGGAAGTTACCTACTGTCTTGGATTTGGCAGGGCTTCTGCTGTTTTAATGAACTGAAGCAGGTCACTCGGGGTATCGAACAAAGTCCAGGGGAGTTGTAAGGGAGGAGAGAAGGTTATCATCCTAATGCTAGGTGTAGATGCACAGATTTAGGCTTAACCTGGAATGGAATTGTAATCGCAGTGAAGTGCAAGCCAAGCTGCCTTCCTTATGTCATACTTCGTTAGATCATAGGACTTTGAGTCAGTTTTATTTTTTCATGCTAACATTATGAAAATCTGTGGTTTCTAACTCCATGGCTTCTATAGTTCTGTTTTAAATAATGGAAGTTTTCTGAACCTGGAACATGCAGTGTGTGCAGACCCTCTTGAGGGTCAAAACCAAAGGAAATGTTTGCATGAGTCCAGGTATGGTGGGTATACATCAAAATATCCTGTGTGGAAGAAATGATGCTGTGCCCTCCAGGTTGGTCCCATAGAGAAGAGTGTTAGTATTACCATCAGCCAAGGGAGCACTTCTGTACCTCAGGCAGCAGAAATTAAAAGGCTGTATAAAACAGCTGAAGGGACAGAGGTTTAGTCCCAACTCCTTTTATATATGCTGTTCATAACAGCTGTCCACATGTGCTGTACATGTGTTCATATAGATCCAGATCCATAATCTGGATCTTACCCAGTGTATTAGAAAGAAACCTTCATCTAGTACTCATCGTCATCTTCCAGGTCTTCCCCCGCAGTTGCAGCTTCCAGTGCAGCCAGAGCTGCTGCCACTTCTGCATCTTCCTCCTCAGTTTCTCCATTGATGTCTGTGTGGTTGGGGTGTGTGGGTGCCTGTACTACTTTGGTAACAGCCACAGCAGTTATACCACCAGGAATGCCCTCACTCAAACTTAGGGAGTCAGTTTTAAAAGGTTCAATACTGCTTTCCTTCATAGGCGAAGGCAGAGTTACAGAAAGGTCCTGGTCCTCTGTTGGTGAAGGCCCAGTGGTTTTGTCTGAATATGCACAATGGACTGAAAAACTATCTTTTTCACCATAGTTCCTGGTTTGATTGACATTTTGGGGATAATCAATATCTGGCAGTTGTATGGCATTGTTTTGTGTCTCCAATATTGTACTTCCTTTGAGAAAGATGCTATCTTCTGCCGACTGGGAGTTCCCATCTTGAATACTGTTTGGCTCATTGCAGGCTGCCTTCCTCTGTCTGCCTGCCTCTAGGTCAAGTTCTTGGCCAGACCTATTTGGTTTGGTGTAAAAGTCTCTGATGCTGGCTGAAGAAGACTCTGCTGACTGTCTGCGTGTTCCCTGATCACTGGCTTCTTTCACTGGCTTTGTGTTGGGATTGAGCATGGCGCGCACTCCAGCACAGGAGTTGCCACCGTTGACTGCAACATCAAGCTTTGCAACGCATTTCACAACACCATCCTCTTGAAAATCATTGCCTCCGTGGTTCCAGAGAGTTTCTTTTGTGCTGTTTACCTGATTTTTATTTTCTGTTCTGTTTAGCTCATCTTTCTGGAGTTCATTTTTGTGTTCTTGGATTTCACTGTTCTCTTTGAATTTGGATTTATTGCTGCCTTGCTCATTGTGTTTGTAGCTGTTTACTTCAGGAATACATCCAGGTGATTGTACTTCTTCTGGATCAAAAATATAGCTGGAGTAAGGAAAAACGTAGAGGAAATGTTAATTACGTGGTTAATATAATTAGAAAAAGAATTAAGCTTAATTGTTTAAACTGGAGATCTTGAGGAACTGGTGGCACTAAACTTTACCTGGGGTGTTGAGAATGAGCTAAACTTGAATGGAAATGCTGAACTGTGCTGTGGGATGCTGTCTCGTGGGGCTGACACTAACTAACCCCTGTACTGAGATTCACTAGGAGCATAAGGAGAACCTTGTGCTGGTTATTGCATGTTTCCAGCTTTATTTTTTATTTTCTCTGAGGGGTTTGTTAGCCAATGAATAGTCATCACACAAGTTAATATGTCCTTATGTAGTTACTAAAATATCTCCCTTTTTTTTTTTCTGGTGTTCTCCTTTTCAAATCTTATCTCATTGTCCTTTTTTTTTTAATTTTATTTTATTTTTGTCACCGTCTTTTTCCTTTCTTACTTAATTTTTCCTCTCACTCCTAACTTTTCCTTGACTTATTTCTTCCAGAGTCTGTCTCTTTTTTTTTATCTCCCCTCTTTCTCTCCTAGCACCAGTTTTCTTTCCCACTTCCTTACCTGTTCTAGAGATGTGCCCGAGTGAAGCAGTAACCGTGTCTTTCTAAAACTAGCTAGTCTCCCTCTCCAGGAAGACTTTTAATGTGGGAATTGTCCCCACAACTAACTAAATTCAAAAGCTATGATGGAAGCAAGGATCATTTTCATTGCTTAGGAGGAGAGGGAGGATCTGACAAAGTCTGTGCTCCTCGTTCTACTAACTGAGGAAATGAGGAAAAAGTCCAATGCCACACAATTATTATGTGGGACAGGAATTACAGAAATGGACTTCACTTGCAATAAATCAAAAGGACATTCACAGGAAATCAGAATGCCTGTGCTCTGGAATGACTTTAAAGAACCTGTAAACTTCAGGAAAACTCCAAGCTTGTAAATAGGCTTAATTTAAGCAACAGCTCTAGGGAAGCACAGACACATGCTTTAGTGCATTTGTTTTATTCACTCTAAGGAACTCTTGTTCTGTTGTACCTTTGTATCATTTTGCAGCACCTGCACCCCATCTGGATTTTCTTTAATCTGAAAAGAGAGAGAGGGAAGGCAAGGGAGAGGGGAAATGAGTGAAGCATTATGAAATTAATGTATGGGCAATTGCATTGAAAATGATGCTCATGTTTAGAAGGGTTTTGTTAGCTAAAAAGAAAGATGTCTACACAAGAATGGATGCAGTAGTTCAAGGTCTTTCTAAGTTGCTATCTTGCATCAACAGCGGCCTTTAGTTGGGGAAAAATCTAGGGAAGAGTTCTTAAACAGGTAGTGGCGTTCTCTCAGAATATTTTCCTACGCAATTTTATGATTTGGAGTCAGAGTAGTGCTGGGTTTTTTTTTGGTGTGTATTTTTTTTATTTTGATTTTTTATTTGGCAGCTATTGATGGACTTTTCTTCCATGAATTTGTCCTGTTGTTTTCTGAACTCCAGTAAACTGCTAGCATCTACAGCATCCTTTCATTGGGAGTTTCACAGCCCAGCCTTACCTGTGTGAAGAAGCACCTGCTTCTAGTTGAGTTGAACCTGGTTCTTACTAGCAGTATTTGATGCCTTCTAGTTCTTGTTTTAGAGCAGACGATGAGCATCATGTCCTATTGTTGCTGTAGTACAGGTCCTGTACTCCCCCTTCAGTTTTGATATGCCATCTGAAGAATCCTTATCTTTTTAATATTACCTATACTGACATTGTTTCATGCCTATGGATTGTCCTTGTGGTGATTCTCTGGGTCTTTTGCATTTCAACATTCTTAGATGAGGTGTGGGAACCACAAACGCAGAGTTCTCAAGGTGTGGGGAACTACAGATTCAGTCTTTCCTAATAATTCCTGTCCCCACTCAGTTGGCTCGGTGACAGCTACTGAGCACTGAGGTGACATTTTTGTGAAAATATCTTAGACACAGACATTTTGCTGGGACTAGCACTTTATTATATGCAGTGTCTTGCACCTGCATTTTGCTACACTAAGTTCTTCAGGGTTTGACTAGAGCTGCGTCTTGCTTTCAGCTGGGATAGAGTGAATTTTCTTTCTAGTAGCGGCAGAGTTTTAGATTTAGTAGGAGAATAATGTCAATAACACATTGTTTTAGTTCTTGCTGAGTAATGTTTACACTAGTCAAGGACTTTTTCAGCTTCCCATAGAAGCTGAGAGAGAGCATAGACAGGAAAATCTGACCAAAGGAATATTCCATACCATAGACATCATGCTCAGTATATAAATGGGGGTTGGCCGGGGGGGGCAGGAATCCGGGATCACTGTTCAGGATGGGCTGGGCAATAGATCATTGAGTGGTGAGAGCTACTTGTGTTGTATCACTTTATTTTGTATATTCCTTTACCGTTGTTGTTTTCCTCTTCTGTAATTGTTCTATTAAACTGTCTTTATCTCGACCCAGGAGTTTTTTTCCCTTTCCCCTGCTTTTCTCCCTCTTCGCCCTACCCTACTGGGGGCAGGGCAGAGGGGGAGTGAGCGAGCGAGCAGCTGCGTGGTCTGAGTTGCTGGCTGGGGTTAAACCATGAGGAACTAGCAGAGTGGTTGCGTTTTGCTACACCTCTGTATATTGCAAGCTTTCTGTGTATGTGCGTCATTGCCTGACCCAGTGAGATGCTAAAAGTTATCTATTACATGGCTCATATGCCAAAGTCTTTTATTATGGGAAGAAGTAATTTGCTAATTTGGCCCTTTGAGAACTTTTATGTTCTGAACCTGAAGTGAAGGTACAGATCTGAACATCCCATTATTCTTTATGGGTTGGGGCTATCTTATTTCAAGTTAATCAAGTCAGGACAGGTTGTTAATATGTTCTGTCCATCGCTATTCAGGCTCTTTCTATTTCTCTTGAGGTGTTCTACAACCTCACGTAGTTCTGCCATTGCCTAAGGACAACAGCTCACTTCCCATAAAACAGAAATTGATGATGCAAGGTCAGGGTATTTTCGAGAGTGATTTATTTACAAAACACAAAAAGAAAGTAGTACTGATTTATTCTTACCAGGCATGGCCTGACCTGCACACCAGTTATTATGCTAGCAGAAATTACAATCAAAACTCTGTTGTATGGGACAATTGTCTCACTTCTCCGCCCCCCCACCCCAAATCTGACTTCCTCTGGTGTTAGGACTGAACAAAATGCCTGATGTCAAGCCCCTCATTCCTGGAGCCTCCAAGGGCCTGCAGTGATTCAGCAGCTGGTTTTAGCTGGGGTATAGCTGCTCCTACCTATGATTTTTGTCTTTGTCTTCATGTGAACTGTTTTGGAGTAGAAACTTCTGTCAGGAGTAGCCAGCTTGCTGTAGCTTGGTGCCTGTTGGGATGGCTTGCAAGCCACCTGCTTTGCTTCCTCTGTTTTGGTGCTGCTTCTCTCTCTTCCTTGAATGCATTCTCTTCCACATTTTTGCTCATCTCATGCTGCGTGTCATTGTCCCCCACCCCTTGATAACATCATAGCAGGAATTCTGATTTTTTCATCTGAAGAGGATGCAATAAGCGGTGAGGTGGTCACTTGTGCTGACCCTCCTTATGTGCAGTTGCTCTACAGTACAAAGGCATTTGGACAGGTTTGACTAGATATGGGGCTTGTTTGAATTGGCTGGCATAGCCATCTTTTCCAGTCAAAAAAGAATTCTTAATACAATTTGCTTTGATCACCTTAAAAGCTATAGCCCTTCCTTAGGTTAAGGCTGATTTGAAGCTAATTCAGTTGAGCTAAGCCCTATGTGGACACAATTTTTGATTTGACTGACATCTTTAGTTTTCACTTAAATCTGCTGCTAAACTGGAAGAACAAAAACTGCATAAAGTTGACCAGCTGTTGATAGACTCAACCTTCAAGTCTCAGCGGCTGGCAGGTCACCACATGTTAGATAGGTCACCATGTGATCTCTGTTCAGGGGAAAGGCTTGGCTTATGTTAAGCCTCTTTCTCTACAGACTCTTACCATCCCTCATGCTTGCCATAGGCTAAGAATATACAAATATTATTTCAGCTCTGCTAAACATGATAACTTAATATGCTGTCACTGCTATGTGAGCCCACTGACGTGCCCACACCGTGTTTGGCTTGGCTTTAAAATAGGTTTGGTGAAACCAGTCCTGGTTTGTACGCAGACCAGTTCTGAGAACAGATACTGCTTCTAGCTGGGTGTGGGCACTTCACCCCAGGCTGCTTCTGTTTAAACTTTTATCTGACAAATTTCCCACTCAGTGCTTTTATTATTTTTTTTTTTTGTGATTTTTAAGTCACAAAATCTTGCTCTTATGTTTTAACCATGGGGAAGTGCTAATTGCTGTCCTTTATTCTGTTGCAAATACGCTTGTGGTTGTCATAGAAGGCAATTATAAATGGAAATTGGTGTTGTTTTCCTCGGAACTACTTCCATGGTTGTTGTTGGTTGTTTTGTGGTTTTTTTTTTCCTACAGTAACTGTTCAAATTATCTCTGCAGCTACTGCGTTAAGCTTTTCCACTGATTAGTTACAACTGGATCTGTCCTCTGGCATGAATAAACTATTACATATGGAAAATATTTTATCTTATCTTATAAAGTATTTCATATTCCTGAAATAGGAATATGGTTTTACAATGTCACTGTCTGAACAGTGGTATGTTTTTGGGTTGGTTTTTTCCCTTGCACTTTTCCATATGTATAATAATCTTTCAAGTCAAGTTGGAAAATAATTCTGGGGAACAAATTGCTTTTATAGCATGAAAAGGCATGTTTTAATTCTGCTTATCTTGTTTTAGGTACCTTGGTCTAAAGGCTTTTGTATTCTATGATGTTTGTAGTTCCATTAATGGATAAGTAGAATTAATAAGCTCCTGTCTGGAGCAGTTTGAGTCAAGCACGTGCTACAGACTTGCAACAAAAAAAAGTTAGAGAGCTCAAGCAATGAATATTGATATGTTATCTTATTCTGAGTTTAGAAACATGGCATCTTTTTATGTTAAAACTATTTTTTGCCTTTTTATAAGATGTTTATTCTGTTAGATATTCCGTGCTGCTAAATTGATCAGATAATTTCAGATGAACATGACATGATGTGGAATGCTCCCTTGCAGAAAACTAGTTTCCCTCCCTCAAAAAAAGGCTGCCTGCCTAAAGTGGTATTAAAATGCTTGGCCTTAATATTTAGATCTTCAGAATTCAGATCAAACTGCCCTTAATCCTAGACAACATTCTTGCTCAATCATGAAATGTCTGAAGGCCTGTAAATTTCTGTCACTTGGTATTATGCAGTCACTAATATATCATCTGGCATTAAAGCTCTACTAAGATATTAATTAAAGTTTTTTGGTTTTTTTTTTTTTTCAGACATGCACTGGAACATTTGGAGCATTTACAGGAGGCAGATGGAGCTGTTCAGGTGAGAGGAATGAGGGGGGCCTAGAATTAACTTTTTTTACTTTGCTTAATTTTGAACTTTCACTTTCCAGCTTTGAGTAGCTGCTGAATCTTCTAAAGTTTGCCCCTGAGGTTGAGCTTGTACCAGTTTCTACAAAATAATCAGATTCTTGCAGCATGACAGTAGGATAGCCTTGTGGTTTGCATATTCAGTGTCAGTGCTTGCTTCAGTTACAGTTATGATACTTTTCTTCAGTGAAAGAGGTGGAAGAGGCCCAACTCTGTGTGTGTTTCCCCCAGCCACCCCAGCAGACCTTTAGTTACAGTGCAAAAAATAGTCTAGGTATAATGTCCTTGCAATGTATTAAATGAGTGTTCACAGAGAGACTAGGAAGACCTGATGTTATGAAAGAGTGACTTCCTTTAAAAGAAAATGATACAGAAGAGCAACTATTTTAAAATCAATTGAGGAAAAAATCCTGCTATGGTTATTAAAGAGGTAGTAAGTAGACTTGATTTGAGGAGAGCAAACACCAATCCCATCAATAAAACAAATGCTGAAAAAGGGGAGGCTGTTAAATATTTTTATGGTGACACCTGAGAAGAGAATGAAATGGGACTTCAAGTGTGAGACGTTGCTGAGGATAACAAGAATAGTATTTGACTCCAGCAACGTA